GTGGGTGGGGAGGGCCGGGATTCAGGAAAGGGACCAGAGTCCCTGTGCATCCACCTAATGCCCAGCTCCTGTCTCCTGTCTGCAGGTCTGTGTGTCTGTTGTTCTCAGCTCTCGGCTAGGCTAGAAAAGGAGGAGGAACCTGTCCAGAATTCCAGCAGGTCAGTGAGGGAGGGGTGCACGGGACAGAGGGACCCAGAGCGGTGGCGAGTGTTGGGGGCATGGCCCAGGTAGAATATGGGGCCCCACTACCCACCTCCTAACACATTATATGCACTCCCGCCACACCGTGCAAATATAGAGAAAATGGCAGGACCTGCCAGAGAAATGGTTGGCTCACGTGTGTGGGAGGAATGGTGGGGGAAAGGGTGGCAGAAGGAGGGCTGGGGCAGTCAGGGGAACCCTGACAAGGGGCGAGATGCCAGTACTGTCCCGACCTACATTCCACCCCCAAGCCCTCAGTCTCCCTGTCTCTTCTCTGTCTCCTCTTCCTTCCCACCCCACCCCACCCCCAGGACAGGAAAAAGAGGGGACATCTCAACATGGAAAAACTCTGCAACGAAAATGAAGGAATGCCTGAGAACCAAGGAAAGATGGAAAACCAAGAACAGCCACAGGATGTGGGAAAGCCAGAAATAGCTTGTACTCTGGAAGACAAGGAAAAGTTAGAAAATGAGGGAAAGATAGAAAAGAAGGAAAAGACAGAAGATGAGGAAATCCTTAAAGATAAGGAAAAGCCAGAGAAGGAGGGAAAGCCAAAAGAAGAGGGAAAGCTAGTCAATGAGGGAAAGCCAGAGAGCGAGGGAAAACCAAAAGAAGAAGGAAAACAGGAGAATGAGGGAAAGCCAAAAGACGGAAAACCAGTGAGTGAGGGAAAGCCAAAAGAAGAAGGAAAACCAGCCAGTGAACCAAGGGCTGCAGGGAAGCGCCCAGCTGGGGATGATGTACCCAGGAAAGCCAAAAGAAAAACCAACAAGGGGCTGGCTCAGTGCCTCAAGGAATATAAGGAGGCCATACATGATATGCATTTGAGCAATGAGGAGATGATAAGAGAATTTGATGAGATGGCTAGGGTAGAGGATGAGGTGAAGAAAACCAGACAGAAATTGGGGGGGTTTATGTGGATGCAAAAAAGTTTACAGGACCCCTTCCATCCGAGGGGCCCAAGGGAACTCAGGGGTGGCTGCAGGGCCCCACAAAGGGGCTTTGAAGACATTCCTTTTGTGTAGTGCCCGGCCAGGCATTTGCCAGGCCCTGGGCTTTAACTTTATTGCTAATACTTTGCTTTAAGTGTCACTCTCGTTATTCAACTGCAGCCCTCTGTGTTTCAGTAGCAGATTATCATCCATTGCATGGAAAAATGTTTATGGTGCATTGTAAAATTAAAAAGAAAACAGTTTGCAGAACCATATATATGGCATCGGTCCATTTTTGTAAAACTGCAAAGATATTTACATAGTGATCTGTGTACAGAAGAAACTGAAAGCTGTGTCTACTAAAAGCTTAACAGTAGTTATCTGTGGGTGATTTTTTTGTTCAGTTTACTTTTATCATAAAAATAATGAAAGAAAAAAACAGTTCAGTGAGTTTATGAAGTCCATGGGAACGCTAAAATTCCCATTGTCAGGACGTGAAATGAGAAGTAAAACTACTTGTGGAGGAAACAACCTGGCAATTGTCACGTACATTTTTGCAAGGGACAGTCTTGTTATCTGTGAATTGGATAAAACTTGCCTTTTGGACTGGAGAAAGTCAGATGAGACACTGTTGGACTGGCTCCTTCCTCTCCCCTGTACCAGCAGAACTCAGGACCCCTGACTTTTTCCTGTTTTTTGATGTTTGGGAGAGGGCTGAGAGAGCTCCCACTTGTGTCCAGGAAAAAGTCCATACAGCTGAGAGGTAGGTGCTCCTCTCTCCTGAATAATGCCATGTCTCTTGGACACTGCGCCCCTTCTCATGGATCCTGTACCCTTGTAAGACCCCCATTGCTGCTGGGCTGGAGACCATGACGGGCTAAAGCAACAGTGTCTCAACAGAAGGGTGGAGAATTCTCTACCAACGATAGAGTTACCCTAACTCAGGTGGGTAATACCCAATTATCACTTGGGCCTTGATATTTTATAAAGTTCTTGCAGAACATTCCAAGTTTTTCGTTGGTTTGTGTTTTTGCATACAGTCATCTCCACTGAGTTTAGATACTGGAGATTGAGCCAGGAGAAAGATCTGAGTGACAAGATGCTGTAATAGTCTCACCTGTTAATCTCTTATCTGCTGATTCTTTTTTCTTAGAAGGGGTTGTCTCCCGGGAAATTCTTGTTAAGCGTTGCTTTACCTTTTTAACAGATCCATCTACCTATGTGATTTCCCCCTGGCTCTTCATTAGCCTTTTATTTGCTTATATTGTTTTTTAAATAAACTTAAACAGTTGTAGATTTACAGAATTATTGCAAAGATGGTACAGAGTTTCTGTGTACCCCATACCCAGTATCCCCTATCGTTAACATCTTAGGTTACTGTGGTGCATTTGTCACAATGAACCAATATTGATGCATTGTTATCTACCAAAGGACATACTTTATTCAGATGTCCTCAGTTTTTCCCTAATGTCGTCCTTTTTTTGTTCCAGGATCCCATCTAGGTTACCACCTTACATTTAGTCATCATGTCTCCTTAGGCTCCTCCTGATGGTGACAGTTTCTCAGACTTTTCCTGTTTTTGATGCCCTTGAACCCTTGAGAAGTACTGGTCAGGTATTTTGCATAATATCCCACAATTTCAGTTTGCTTAATTTTTTTTCTTGTGGTTACACAGGTGTTAAGTGCTTTTGGGAAGTGGACCACAGAAAAAGTGCCATTCTCATATAAAGGGTATATACTATCAATATTACTTATCACTGTTGATGTTAGCATTGGTCACCTGGCTGAGACAGTGTTTGTCAGGATTCTCCGTGGTTAAGTTACTCTTATTGCTCCCTTTCTGTACTGTACTTTTTGCAAGACACCGTGCACAGTCCACACTTAAGGAGTGGTGTATTCCACCTCTCTGAGGGTGGAGTAGCTACAAAATTTATTTGGAATTCTGCACAGGATATTTGATTTCTCCCCCTTTTATTAATGTATTCAATTTATTTATATCAACATGGACTCAATATTTTATACTTTATAATCTAATACTATTTTATATGTTTTCATTGCTCAAGTTGTTCCAACTTTGGCCATTGGGAGCTCTTTCAGTTGGCTTTTACATCTATTTGACATACCCCCATTGCGCGTGCGCGTGTGTGCGTGCGTGCGCGTTTTAACATTTTCTGGCACTAAAAGATGTTCTAGTCTTACCTTGCATATTTCCTGCTCAAGTTCTAGAATCAGCCATTTCTCCAAGGGGCCCTGGTACCTTTGGTTGGAGAATGGTACTAAAAACTAGGATCTGAGTGTTAGGTGTACTCATTATTATGGAGATATCATTGCTTCTAGGCCCTCTCAGTTGACAGAGCAAGGAGATACATTGGCATATAATAACCTGTGTGTATATATGTATCTAATTGAGCTGTATCTAATTGGCTGTTAAAGCCATGCATTGAGTTTCTAATTTCAGCTGTTATTTTTTTAGTTTCAGAATTTCCATTTTTTTCTCACCTTTTCTGGTTTCTAGTTCCCTGTTGAAATTTTCAAGATTGGATTTTATTTATCTGACTACACTAAGCACTGTGGTTTAATAGTCTGTATCTGATAATTCAAATCATTCAAAGCTAATGGATTTATTTGTGTTGTCTCTATTTTGTCTCTATTGCTTCTTTTTTCTTCGTATTTCTGGTTATCTTTGTGTGTCAGCATTATACTTGAACAGTTATTTATTGAAATAATTTGAGGAATAGGAACATTACTCCAGAGAAGATTATGTTTGCCTGTAAGGATGCTTCCTGTCTGGAACCACCATAATCTCTGCTCAAATTTTCAAGTTTTCTAGCCCACCTAGATGTTGCAAAGCCAGGCTAAAAGACTTTGCGAGGGCTAGTTTATTTCCAGTTAACAATTATCCTTAAAACATTTGAGATTCCTCACATCGTATGAGTGATGGTTTGTTAGGAAACCCCTCTCCTTATAATGACCCTTGAGTGTGGATTTTTGCTACTCTAATGCCTTGAGTCTGTTCTAGGTTAAGCTCAGTTTAGCACTGGTTTATTCCTTAACCTTTATTCCTTAAGCACAGATGCCCTCAAGACAAATACAGTTAACCATAAGAGTACTAAAAGAAAACATGGGTAAATTCCTCTTTGACTTCATTTGGGAAAAGTGTTTTTAACTATGGTTCAAAATATAGATGCAATAAAGGAAAATTATGATAAACTTGACTATTTTTAAAAAACTAACAAACTGGAAATAAATATTTGCAACATATATAACATATAAAGGCCTAATATAGTTAATGTATTAAAAAAAAAAACACTGGAAAAATGAGGGGGAGAAGGACTAACAACCCAATAGAAAAATGTGGAAAAAACATGGACAATTCACAATGATACTAAAATTGTCATTAAACAGAGAAATGCAAGATAAAACTTCACTGAGGTACCACTCACCTATCATATTAGTGAAAATTAAGTATGTCACATAATGTTGGCAAGGGTGCCGGGGAAACATGCACTCTATTGATAGGAAAGCAAAAAAAGGCCAGGATCAGGGGAGGGGAAAACCTAGAGATGTAGATTTGGGAATCATATGTGCTTAGAGGGAAGTGAACAGAGATTGCCCATGTGGACTGAGAAGAGATGAGGCC